CTCTTTCACATTATAACTCACTCTTTCACATCACGAGGCTGATCACAAAGGCCAAAGGAGTGGTGGCCTTTTGCATTTAGAAATAGTGGGCGGTGCGATATCCACAGCGTGCTCCCACCTCACATCAAGGCTGAGAGAGAGAAGGTGAAATACATAGATGTGAGAGGGCCTCTGTTACCCTCTCCCCTCGCTGTCCCCTTCTTTGACAAGAGGGAGTAGCTGGTCCCACTGTCTCCAGCAAAGAAGTGACCGTCCTTGCGAGCATGTGAGTGAAGGTCATTTGTTGCTCGTTGCCAGCAGAGTCCAGGGAGACTGACCTTCTCAGCGGGATGGACGGGAAGGGCTCCTACCAGATGAAGGGCTGGAAGCTCACCCAGCAGCAGTTCGTGGCTCTCCTTTGGAAGAGGCTGCTCATTGCCAAGCGAAGCCGGAAGGGCTTCTTCGCTCAGGTGAGAGGGTCCAGCGTGTGCAGGGTCCCGTGGCAGCGGGCCCTGTGTTGACTTCAGTGTTGAAGGTGGGCTGAAAACCTCAAGACAGTCCTAGGCCCTAAAACTGGCCTTCATTGCCCATGTCAGTAAAAGGGGGCCTGTGCAAGTTGTTTTCTCTTCATTTTTGTTGTTGTTGCGAACCAGTGAGAGAGAAAGGAGTTAGGCGGTAACCAGGTTGTTGCAACTAAAGTTCAAATCTAAACTCTGCCTTTTGAGAGCAGCAATTGGAGGCTGAGTCCTCTGCATCCCAAATGAGTGCTGTGATTGCATGCCAGGATAAGTCTGTCTCAGTGTCTAGAGATGCCTTGGTAAATAATAAAGACTTTCTTGGGAAACTGTGACAGAAAAAGCCTTGACCCATTAAATGACTCACCTGAAGCTGTTGATGCTTCTAGGATCACTCAGTTTAAAGCGGGTTTGCTCTGCTCTTGTAATTTCAGATTGTGCTGCCAGCTGTGTTTGTGTGTATCGCTCTCATGTTCAGCCTGATTGTTCCTCCCTTTGGGAAGTATCCCAGCTTGGAATTACAGCCCTGGATGTATGATGAGCAGTACACTTTTATCAGGTGCATTTCTTGTAGCCAGGATATGGTGCTAAAATCGTACAATTCTGTTCTTTTGTGCTAACCTTTAGTAAGATCTATACTAGATTATTTAAATTTGGTTTTGTGCCTAGCTCCAAAGCACAGTGTAATGGAATCCTTTTATTACCCCTTTACACCTTTAAATGCCAGCTCTAACCAGTAGCCATACCCATTTCTGAATGGTACTAGGACTCTAGTAATACTTTGCACGAATATAAACGCTGACCAGGAGTGTGTCTGTGTGCCCAGGCCAAGCGTTCTGCAGGGGAATCTCCACCCATTTCCTTTTTCCCTAACTTTTTCTCCCTGTTCTGAGCCTTGGCCTCCTGCTGTTTTTGCTGTGTGCCCATTATCCAATGACCTGATGGTGTTTCTCTGCTGTATCCATAGCAATGATGCTCCAGATGATGCAGGCACTCAGAAGCTTTTGGATGCACTTCTCAGTAAGCCTGGCTTTGGGACGCGCTGTATGCAGGGACATGCCATCCCGTAAGTAGAACTGCAGCCTGGGAAGGACCAGCCCTGGCTTCTGATGAGCTTGTAGGTTTAGTCAGCTTCAGGGGATGCTACTCATGTGTGGCCAGGGCCGGCTTTAAGCCAGAAGGGCTGCAAAATTTTTTTTTTTCCCTATCATCCAAGAAATGGCTATCTGCTCTGGGTTTCTCCCAAGTCTGGATGCTGTGCATGCTGGGACAGGCTGAAGAACTCAGCAAGTCCTGGAAGGCATGAGAGGAAGGGCGCACCCAGCACTACCCGGTGTTGGCTAAACTTGGTCTCTCTGACCCCAGCAGGAGCTTCTGCTAGAAGCTGCAGGGCCAAGTCTGTTTTTCTAAGCTGATTGTTCCCGTGGGCTCAAGCTCCTTTGAAAAACAACTGCTTATAGCAGCTTTCCTTTCCTCTCAGGGAACATGGTTTCTGTTAGCAAAGGGCTTGTAAGCAAAGGCTCTCGTAGTTGTTTTAAAAACATGCATTTGCCTTGGCCCTGTCCCAACACAGAGACACTCCTTGCACTGTTGGGCAGAAGGAATGGACCATGGCTTCAGTCCCAGAATCCGTCCTGGACATCTTCCTGAAAGGCAACTGGAGCATGGAGAACCCTTCCCCGTCGTGCGAATGCAGCAATGAGAAGATCAAGAAGATGTTGCCAGTGTGTCCCCCTGGTGCAGGCGGGCTGCCTCCCCCACAGGTAGGGGACGCTCAGATGGTCCCACAGGGAGGGACGCTCCTATAGAGCCGAGAGGCTGCCACAGTGAGCTTGTGTGTATCACTGAGCACAGTTCATCTGACTCAGCGTCAGCGTTTTCTGACTGACGTTTTTCTGTGTTTCCCTGGTGACATCAGCGAGAGCAAGACACAGCTGACATCCTCCAGAATCTGACAGGCCGTAATATATCGGAC